GAGTCTCCCCCTAGGCAAGAATGCCACACCAGCTGAAGTGATGGAGCTCTAAGAGAGAGAGAATGTACACCCATTATGGCTTGCAATGATTTACAGATGGTGGGACCATAGCTGCCAAGCTAACCCTCTTATATGAACTCTTCTGTAAAGTTTACAACCAACTAACAAATTGGAGAGTTGATTATGGAGGGCACAAGCCTCTGCATGTGGTACACTGGAAGGACTATATTAAACACCTTGTGTAGTACCTCATTTCTTCTCTGCCTCACCTCTCATTCCAGTCACTAATTCAGCAAAAAATATTGTGCAGACAGTGCCTCCTGTCACGCGAGCATTGCCTCTCTTGCATACTGCTCGGGTCCTTTTCTAGCATATGCTTTGGGACACCTGTGGGAGCTAGCTTAGAATTCATATGTGCAACTCAGAAGTTCAGGGGGTTTATGACTCATAAAGAAACTCTCAAGGGGAGATTGTGTCTGATGGATAATTGCTTCCCCTTTACATCCCTTGAATCCTGAGATCCTTATCATAAGTTTCCTCAGATAGTCCAAGTGGGATTGCATGCTCGGTATTCACAGAAGCTGTCAGTTTAAAAACACATCTTTATAGAAGCTTTCTTTCCTTCTCTGGTACACTTTCCCTATATCTTAGCCCACTCAGTCTGCTATAACCAAATATAATAGGCCAGGTGGCATACAAACAACAAACATTTATTTCTCCCCATTCTGGAGACTGGGAAGTCCAAGATCAAACCACCAGGAGCCTGGTGTCCTGTGAGGGCCTGTTTCCCGGTTCAAAGTCAGCCATCTTCTTGCTGTGCCCTCCCATGATGGAGGAGGTGAGGGAGCTCTCTGGGGTCTCTTCCATTAGGGCACATATCTCATTCATGAGGGCTCCACCCTCATGGCCTGATTACTTCCTAAATGTCCTCCAAATACAATGACGTTGGGGATTGGGTTTCAACATAGGAATTTTTGAGGGACACAGATATTCAGTCTAGGGCACCCTGGTTCCTCACTTCTGCTTTCTGGGAGCATTTACCCAATAGACTATTTGCATTAAAATGCCTTTGAGCTGTGTTTTAAAAGGAAACCTAAACTCTGAATGTGACATACAAATGCACATTTTTCTATGAATAGATTCTTTATTTTATTATCTCCACATGTCCATACATCTGCCATTTTATAAAGCATCAGAATAGATAAGATTTCAAGAGGTATGGAAATAAAAAGACAAGAAAAATCCTACTGAAACACATTTTAGATAAGGACAGAAGAAAAGGAGACCCCAGAGAAGAGAGGATATAATCATTGAGTGAGAAGTGATATTAGGAGACTCACATTCCACATCTTGGAAAGTTTGGGCACATGGATTTTCAAATTCTGGGATTCCCCCCAAAATCAAACTTAAAAGTAATGATAATCTGAAAACATGTACTGAAGGGCTAGAAATAAATCACTTTAAAAAGTCATTACTTAGAAGCAAGTACAAGATGTGTTCTTTTATGTGGATTCCTTCAAACTGGGAACACCAAGTAAATGTTAAGACAAAGACACTTGGAAGTGGAGGGTCTTGTGGATTGTTTCAGTAGGTATGTGGTTACTTGGCTTTGGTGGTAAGTGCTTGGTTTAGGGTCAATTTCAGCTTTATTTAACTTTGTAATTCAATAATGATTCTGGAGAAGTATGGTAAGGAGTAGGGGTGGAAGTTGTAAAAGTTCCATAAGCAGAGATTGTTGAATATTTCTGTTTTTTAGAATAATAGTTTCTCAAACTCTACTGTTTATATCACTAAAAAAAAAAAAAATGCAGCCTGCTTCTGTTCTTCGTGGCTTCTGAATGGAGTATTGCTTGTCTTGATTTTGCCACCTGACTACAAGTCACGCTCAGAGCAGCCTGTGTCCTCTGCCTGGCCTCCTCTACGCCCCCCCAGCTCTCTGGGCACTCTAGGAATAGAATACTTGCCACCAAAGGAAATGATTATTTCCTTGTTTGTCTCTTTCATCTAAATTTTGATAACCACCACGAAAAGTACTCCTCATGTTTCACAGACTGCCTAGTAGGTAGTATTACTTTATAAATGTTGAATCAATTTTAACCATTTCATAAGATAAATTATTTTTTAGGTTTCACATACCATCAAATTTGCACATACATACATATTTAAATGAGTTTATAAATTCACATAAGAAAAACATGCCATCGGTGTCTATAGAAGGAAATAAAATTACCCCATAAGTGAATGCCTCGTATACTGATAAAAAGTAGGAGTGAGAATATTGAATACAAGTGATTATTCTAACTCACAAGAACACTAACAGCTACAACAGTGTCCATAGAAAAGCAGAAAGTATACTTACTTTTCTTTTACTAAGCCTATGTTTTACCTTTGGACATTCAGCAAATAAGGTCTTAAAATAAAATATAAGCCCATATTTTAAAAAAGAAAAATCTTGACTTATTAGGAGAGCCTTCAGAAACATTTCTGCATAATGCATGTGGTAAATATGAAACATCTGAGCCTGCGTTTACCCTGTTATTGTTCTGTACCTGAGAGACAAATGATCTAGATCTGTTTGACACAATGACCTCATGCCCAGTCGCGGAGACCAATGAACATAGAATCCAAAGCAGAGCAACTCTGGTGTAGTGATCTTTCCTGGAGAACATCTGCTACCAGCTGAGTGTTTACTCTTTGGCGGCACTGGCAGATGTGCTAGTAGGCAGCCCATCTGTGCGGTGATGGGAGGCTGGAGCGAAGGAAGCTGGGCTGGGCAGACAGAGCGAGCTTACTCTAATACACTGACTTGTTCCAGAAAATGCAAATTATTACCTCATAGCATGTTTCTTTCTTCCTGTGCTATTAGTGTTTTAAAAGCTAACTAATGTGTGCATTGCCCAGCAATAAAGTTTAGGTCTGGGACTGCTCCTAGGAATGTTGTCATGGTCGAATTATTATTTTAGAAAAGAGAGCAACTGTTACTGTAAAAATATAAAAAGTTTAGATAATAAATATGTAAGTTTAAAATATTTTCCTATTTGAAAATATTCAAAAATATTTTGGCCTATGGGAAAAGAACACATTGAATAAATTAAGCATCAACTTTTCTAACTGAAGCTCTTATCTGTTCTCTTCTTTTGTATTGTTATATTCAGAAGTGTTATATCCAAAATCTGCTCTGCAGGACATCATTTCACACTTAATGGAAGTTATATACAAAATTATCAATGACTTTTTAAACAATAAAATTTCTTTCTTTATTGCAAGATTTCTCAGCTCTTTTCCTATGTTAATGTATTTTCTGAATCTCCAAGGAAGAGATACACAGAGTTGTCATCCAAAGAGCACATTTTTTTGTGGAGCATGTCCTGGACTAGTATTCTCTTGTGTTTACTTGAGAAATTCGACTTTGAGGATTGAGTCAGAAGCCATCAATCTGGAAGCAAAACCATTTTAAAAAGAGAGCTATTTATCTTGGCATTCAATTCTTTCACATAATTTGTTTATTGAGATTCCAGAAATTAAGCACCTAAGTGTCTGAAATCTATCTTTTAAGAATGGATTAAACAATACCTATACATTTATATCTGAGATTATTTGTTTACTTTTCGTTCATACATGATGAAGCTAGTATGCAGGAGAAATCACTGAGCAGTCCCCTTAATTTGGAGATTAGGTTACTCTCATTCTCAGGAAGAGAAGGAAACTAGTAAAAAAAAAAAATCAATGTAAAATAGATGAACTTAGCCATCTGCAGAATTTCAACCTTAAGATAGTTCTGTAAATAGTTGCTACTAGTGAGAATGAAACACCCAAATTCAATCAAACTGTAGAGGAATCTTATAATTAGGCTTTAAAATAAATAAATCTTGTGAACTATAAAGTCAGATTCTAACATAAGAGTAACCCAGTTTGCATGAAAAAAAATGCAGGAAAATTTGTGTCAAAAATTGGCAGTTTATACAGCACCATCCAGGACACATTGCCCTGGAAGGCACAGTTCTTCTTACCACTCGAGAGGATCATTCTTTTTTCATTTATTAGACTTTCCCAAAGTCTAAATTATATACCCCACCTATAGACTTACCTCGACTTTTGATCTGTGCTCAAAATAGACGGTGGTCACTGAAGTCAGACAGACCACTTGAATTTAAATCCTTGTTTTCTCACTTCTGAGCTTTGTGACCTTCAGCAAACCACAAAATCTCTCAGCTAATCTCATCTGTAAAACTGGGATGTTGTAGTAAGCATCACATAGGCTCATGGTGAGGTCTGATTATATCCCAAAAATAAATCAGGACTGCCCATTGTACATGGATCTTTGAGAGTAGAAGGTAATTATGCACATACAAATAAGATCGATATTCATCAACCATTGTTCATGGTTCATTGTTGGTTTCTAGAAATGCTTCAAAATTTTAGAAGGCTAAAAGTGAACTCATGAAAATAAAGGAAATAATTTCTAGAGAAAATAGTGCAGTCTGAGAACACAGACTAGCTAGTTACAGAAAGCCATGGAAGATTTAAATACTTGGTTTTCAGAATCCTCTTCTGGAAGGTAACCTGCAAACAGTAGCAAGTGGGTGCAACAGCAGTTGAAATCACAAGTCAAGGGCAGCCATAAGAATGTGCAGGGCTTAAGGAGCCACTGGCCTCCTCATCCATGAAGCTGGAGACCCAGTGACAGCAGCCAGTGTGAACGTGAACTGGAGATAAATGACTGTAACTCGTGTGACACTCCGTTCCCTCAACCACAAACATAATGCACCACACAGAAAACTGTTAAAGAGGTTCTGATGTTCATGGGGCTTTTGATAGTGTTCCTATTGACATATATACACTTTACAATAAATGATCTGCCAAATTGCCAATGGCTGGGGCTGAGGGGCAGGGAGAACAAAAGCGCTAGCTAAAGCTTGCTAAAGCTTTTTCTTACCTTATGTTGACATGTAAGGTGGAACCGAGGTCTTGGATATAAGAGATAAGAGAGAAATTGAAAAAAAGGGGGAGGGTTTAATTTATTTTACAGTTTTACAAATGATAAAACAATAACACCCAATTGCTATACATAAACAATAGGGAAACAGTGTTGAACAGAATGAACTTGACAGAATAAACCTCATCTTTCAATTCCACAAATGATGTAAGAAATACTCAGTAGCAATTATCCTGTGCAGCAATGCTATCTCTGTAAACTCTTTTTTTCCTGCTATATACATTTGAAACACTTGTGCTTTTGCCTACACAAAGAAACAGTATTTATTAAAAGGTGCTACTTAAATGGGGAGACACAGGGTCTGAAGCCACAATCTGAAAACTGCAATTCAAATACATGGCCAGCTTCAAGACTTTTTTTTTTTCTTTTTTTACTTTTAATTTTTTTTTTTTTTAAATTTGGATATACTAGACCCTTATTTTAACTCTAGGTATGAACAGCATAGAATTCAGTTATAAAGTAGCTCCCTTTAAAGCAGGTTAGTAACGGAAGTCTCAAAAGAACTTCTTTATTCTAAAGCGGTCTTATCTCCAGAGTGCTCCACAGGGCAGCCCCCGAAGATGTCAGCATTACACAAAGCTAGTGTGTGTATATTACAGACTCAGTGTGTATACACACAGACACACATATATAACATTGTATATATGCATCACACATGTCTATTTGTACTATGTAGATATAGCTATAGCACATATATAATAAAATATCTATTTCTAGGTGGGCTTTATTTGGATTTTCTTTCAACAAATATGAACAATAACCTTCCCTCACTCCATTTGCAAAACACTGGTATATTGATAATGTCTGATGGGGAAACTCTCAAAACTTGTAGAGGTAACAACTAACTATACATAACTCTTCCTACACCCCTTCCACAATTACAGATATTCCCAACAATATCCACGGGAAAACGAGTCTTTTATGAACTAAATACCACACTGTGTGCATTATGACTAACCAGCTCAATTAGAAATAAATTACTTTGTTCACCCTTTTCCTGTGTTGTAGCTTAATAACTAGTTGGTATGTACACTACCTATAGCTTATTTAAATAAATTTCTTCTGTAAGCATATACGTAGAAATCCTCATTAGCAATTGATAGACATTTCCTACGCTAGACGATACATAAAGACATCGGAATGCCCGGCACCTTCTTCAGGTAGAAAAACTTCCAGTCATTTCATCAGTCCTGTGGGCCAAATCATTGGATTTGCCCAGAAGAATCTGTTACTAAGTTATTTGTTTCTTTTGTATTCCAGCAACTTAATATTAAGTACACGACAGGCTGGGTAATAATGATGAAAATGTTCCTACGGCCTACTCTTGTCAACAGCACAGTAACAACCACGTTCTCTGAAGGACAGGAATAGTTCACAATCAGCTGCCCGAGCACTGCCAGGTACAGGGTTACATCGTGGAAAAGAAATAAAAAGATTAAAGCTGTGAACATATGATAGTCTCCAAAGGAAAAAAAACAAACAAACAGGTGTTTCAAGTATGTATTTATAATCTGATTTCATCACGCTCCCTTTTGCCCCCAGTGGGTTAAATCTCAATTCTTTTTCTTCCTTTTGCTGTTAGCCTTCGGTGACGTCCTTGCCCTGTCCCTGTGAGAAGGCCACAGCGGATGTGAAGGGGGAGGGACACGGAAAGGTATCCAATAGGGAATGAAATGGTCTTGTACAGTTTGTCTTTGAACACTAACTGCCTTTAATTGAATTCATTCTTGAGTATTGAAAGTTCCCTGAGATGAACAAAAGTAGTCTCAGTCGATACTGAAGCCCTTTTTACATGCTGAGCGTATTCAGAACTGGGCAACGTATTTAGAGAACACAAAGCCTAGGCCAACAAAGCCACGTGAAGCTAAAAAGGCACTACTCAACGCATCTACGGGATAAACACCACCGCACAGAACAGTGAACGTCGGGGACGCTTTCGCTGTGGCCTTAAGAGTTGTTTAAATGCATTTGTTGAAAAATGCAGTAAAAACGGCAAGGTACCTTGCTGCTGCTTCTTGAGACATACTTTCAGTGAGTTCTGAGATGGATTTTATCTATAAGGATTTACCTGTGACTTCAAACATTTCTGTTGAATTCAAACTAAAGGCTACTCAAACAACCTGTCTGCAAATAGTCCAAATTAGGTAATTAACCTATTTTGGATTCGTTAAGTAAATCCGATTTTTCAAGTTTACATTCAGAATATGGACCCAATTCTTCAAAAATTTCCAATAAATAAGAGGTTCAATGATAAAAGCACATCATGTTCTATCCATTTTTAGCTATGCATCTCCTTTATGGATTCTATTTTGTTTTCTCAGAGATACATAAATTCTCAGAAAATATAATCTTCTGTATCCCAAGGTTCTACCATATTTTAAAAAAGAATACCACATACTATTGAGAACTGTACTACCATGAATATCCTTTGTCCTTGAAAACGTACATATATTCCTCATGCTATTTCTTCTTTTCTCAGACTGCCTTCCCTAAGAAACAAGAAGTAATCTATGTTGTTTCAGGTCAAGAGCAAAAGTGGGAACATAGCACTTCTGTTTTCTAAAGAAACAATTTACCATCAGAATTACCTACCAGCATACTAATTACCAGAAATTGGCCTACTAGTCAATTCTGCTATATGTTAAAAGTTTTTAAATTTTTATTACTAATTTCATGTGCTTGTATGAAAACACATTAATGTGATAATATGAATAAATTTAACTACAGAAAAAAATATTAGTTAATTTAACTTGAAGTGCAAAATACTGATGTACAGTTTCATTGTTAAACCTCTTAAAAGTAATGATGTCTGTGATGAAAACAACACTCTATCAATCATATTATTTTTGCACTAAGAGAATTTAACAATAATCTAGAGAGCGTGCCAGTCTTTCCATCTGAATAACAAGGGGGATATCAAAGAACTAGAAGTCACATTCCAGCCCTATCAGTTGAACATTTACTCTAAAGGGCAAAATGCTTCCACAAAATCATTATGAAATGTAAAAGCTGTGGAATCTTCTGTCAAATAAAAATAAAGTTTGAAAAGTTTAAAATATCCAGAGACAACTTTTATATTAGTAGCATAATAATATATTAATATATTATCTTCATGAAAGGAGAATGGTTTGTTGTGTAGACACATCATTATAATCTTTGGTACCAAAAGTACATTTTTTTTTCCTGCTAATTTTATCATCTCGGAATATCTTTCCTTTAGAATGGCTCAAGATTACCGAGTGATGCAGTTTAGCTGGTACCTTCTACACCATTGGAAAAAAATCTGGAGGTTTACAGTTGTGCAAAATAAAACCTTTTTACAAAGTCATTGTGGGATAACTCTTTAAAAATATAAGAACTTCAAAAATGATCACTTGCAGATTATTCATCTCATTCATATTTATCTCAGAAAGGATTTCTAAGCACCCCAATACCAAAACCAAAAGAGATTCCAGAAGGCAAAGAAGAACAGAAACAAAAACATAAAATTCATGATCAAACACAGAGTCCTGACTGAAGGCATTGACTTGAGTTGTTTAATCTTAAGGATTTCACTGCTCAAACTGTTTCCCTCTTGATTTCTGCTGACAGGACGCTTCAGTTTTCCCGAGGGCTGAGTTGTGTTCCCGGGTTCCTCTTCTCATGTGCTTGGCCTTGCAGTGGCAGCCCAACAGTGATGAACATATTTGCTTCATTAACTAATGACAAGTGCATTGTTGGATCTTGTAAACACTACTGTTTATACATTCAAACTGTGTTCTTAGTGGAAGTGGCACTTACTAGGACCCTTGAAGTCAAAATACATAATTTTTAGAGCACTTTGCAGGTATTTCATCAGCTGGTAGTGGATTTCTCATGAATGTCCTTTATCACCTTTCAGATAAGTGGTGGATGCTGAAATCCAGTCTTGTTTTGGATCCTATTTGCAAATCTCAGGAAGCATCTTCAGAAAAGAAGTGCATATTCAGTCTGTATTTTCAGATGTGCTTTATTGCTTTACGCACTTTCCTGTTGTCAGTTTCAGAGCTCCTCTATTATGCAGCACATTTAATGTTTTGAATTCTAATGGCATTCTATGAGGACTTGCATTGGAAAAGTATCTATACTTTAAGTCATCATAGTAATGATATTTGACAGGTTTTCCATTCAAATCCTTAGGGAATGGCCAGAATCCATATAGGTGAATTTCATCACAGAATCTTGTGGCGAGTGTATACATGAGCAGACCTGTGCTGGGTCTTTTGATGGGAACTTTGTTTGTCAGCCAGTAACTGGGGGAAAAAACACACACACAAGAGAAGAATTTAGAGAAACACTCAACATACCCTGTAGCAAGTCTACTACGTATAAAGTAAATAAAATTTGAGAAGTAAGTTTATGAATGACATTCAAAAGATTGCTGAAGAAATAATACATTCCTTAAGCATTTAGAAAATTGAATACATTTATTTTAGCTTTCTTACCCTTTATTTTCTTGCTTATTTTTGAGGTCATATGAATAGCCAGGGGACCTGGAATGTAGGTAAATATGACTGTGGAATCTTATATACAAAATGAACTAGCAGCAAACATTTTACATAGTAGAATCTCCTCGGAAAGGGTTAAATATGACTGCAAAAGGCACAGTAATTGGGCAGTGATTAAGTAATTTTCCCAGGACAGAAGGATTGAAACTACGACTACAGTTTTTCAAATTCTTTAATATATCAATTAAAAACTTAAACAAATAAATGCTTTGCCTGTATTATATTAACTGACTTACTCAACTCCAATTTCCAAGTCACATTTTACTACAGCTAATTAAGAATATAGCCTCAACCCACAGAACAACATAAAACAAATATTTGTAAATAGTTTACCATTTACACAGTTTAAAACTTTGTTCAATAGGTAAAATATATTTCAATGCTGATATGTATTTTATAGTACTCATTTTAAGAGGCAATAAAATATTCCAAAATGTCTGATCCACCATTGTTGCCAAACTTTGTTCATCTGAAAAGCATGCACACTCATAAGTTAATCATCACCTCTGGCAGGGAAGGAGGTTTCCAACACTTCTTGGCATATTCATTATCTTATGTGGAATAAGCTAAAAGAGGAAGAATATGGATCTTCTCTTACTTTCAAAGCTGTCCAATTATAAATAAAGTTAATAAATTGCTTGGTTTTTTAATTTTTGTTTTTATTATTATCTCCTATGTAGGGAAATATATACCCAGCCATCCAAATATGAGATCATTAGATTCTGGTTGTTGCTGTGTTTAAACATTTGCCTTAGATTTCACATAATATTATTTCCTTTTTCTTTTAAAAAATAATTTTTGAAGCTTTCCAAGGTAGATCAAATACATCTAGAATACTGAATATGAAAAGAACAAAATTTTGTTTTAATTCTTTTGGTTAAAGAAATATTGGACTTTCAAACCTCATTACAAACATCCAAAACAGGGAAAATACACTTATCTGTTATTACTCCTGTGTTTTTTTTTTCCCTTTGTCTTCTTTTCCCCCTTTGTCTTCTTTTTCCCCCTACCTTTGAACCAGGATTGACCGTTCATATTTTCAGTTTTGCTTGTTGGGTGAAGGCCATGTGCTGAATGTTGTGCACCAGGTGAAGTGTATTGCAGAACTTTTGTTATCACAAGTGTTTTGAGAAAGCATATTCTCAGGAAAGAAGATTCATAAGGAATTTTCAGAGAAGAACATGTATGAATTTCCTCATAACTCAAAAGTATGAGCAAAAACTGTAGCACGTATATTGCTCACATCATGAAGAAACCACAGAGATTTCGTGCATGGAGCATAGTTAATCTACAGATTGAAGGCACTGAAGAAACAGCCTGAAGCTCTCGCAGCTCTGAGAAAGCAGGTGTTCTTAACATGAAATGATTATTATAGAAAAGTTCTGTGAGCATGATCTGTGTGTGGTTACAAATGTCAGCTGATGCAGTGGGTTCCTTTAAAGAGTACATTTATTTATAAATGTTTATAAAAAGTATATTTATTTATAAATGTTATAAATGTGGGTGAAGCAAGTTCAAACTCCGCCAAGAAAATGGTTATTTCCATCAAAGAATGTCACTTATTGGGAATAGTTTGGCAGCATGAAGGTCATGCTGAATTATCTTATTTCTCAAATGAGGGAAAAAAATAGGTAGGAGAAAATAATATGAGGTCACATTATATATAAGATCACATTATAAACAAGCTTTGTGATGTTTGACTTTGAACAATTCGAATAATTTCAAAGAAAATTAAGCTACTCATTTGTCAGGATATTTTTGGAGAAACAATGCAAAATAAATGCCTCTTATCTTAATAATTTCTAAGAAGAAATCACAGGAAAGCAGGCCTTAATAAATGGCATCAACATGTAACAGATAAATTGAAACAAAACCTTAAAGCCTGTCAAGAACTAAGGCCACAAGCAGTAACATTTTGTGTTAAAAGACATAGGAGTGGATCTGAACACAATCAGTAAGAGTTTTCTATGTGCTTACTACAAATCTAATGTTAGGTTTGAAATTGTTTAGGCCAACCTGCAGTATCAAGTTTCAGTATTTGAACAAGAACATAGTATAATTTTAAGTATCTGAAAGTATTTGCTTTTATCTAAAAAGCGGACAGTTAAAAAACTACAAATTTCTTGTGAAGGTTGATCAAAAACAGACTATTAAGTTTTTTATCCGAATCAGGAAAATAAAAGGAAAATAAGGCATTGATAAAATAATGAACTATTCATGCTCTAATTCAGCACAAGCTGCCCTAATTTTTATCTCAAATTCGTATCTGTTCTACTTTAAAATTTAGCAATGTTTTCAATTGAGCAAATAATCTAGTTTCCATGTATGTATTCCTTTTTACAGAAACTGATTTTTTTTTAAATTATAAAATCAATGCAGGTTTCCTGCAGAAGATATGAAGGAAAAAAGAAACGAATGAGGAAGAAAAATATTACCTATAGTCCAATCACATAGAAAGAATTATTGTCGTAATGTCCTGCATTTGTTTGTTTCCCTAGCTGTTTGGATCTTCATATATATTACAATCATTCAGAGACATACATAGAACGTTTTTCATCAGCTAGGCTGTTTTATTTCAGGTATTATTAATTCTCTCTCCCCTCCCTTCCCTTCTGCTTTGATGCTCTAATACTTTGTCTTGCTGTATGAAACAAACTCACTCTGCGTTTGATATGTAAGTTTTTGAACATTTCTGACTTTTATAGATGCAATACTCTCCATAAATCTCACTACTTCCCAGCAGGGAAGCTTTGTTCCTACTAAGCAAGGTGTCTTACCGACTCTTCATCCAACATATCAGCCCCATTTCTTATTTCAAACTAACTCCACACTTGGAATGCCTTTACTCACCAAACCAGTGTGCTACAGAAGGCCATATTTATGGCCACAAGATGTGGGTGTGAACCTATAATATAATGCTTATGAGTACTCAGGAAAGCTACTTCACTTCCTTGGACCTTGGCTAGTAATATCTAGCATACAAGATTGTTATGATAAAGTAAAAGAGATACTAAGTATGTAAGAACATAGCATAAAGCTTGACACGTAGGAAGTAACAGTAATTGAATTTCAACACATCCCACACAACCCATTCTCCAGTCCACTCCACAACCTACTTTCTCCTGGTGCCTTCTGTAACTACATATCGGCTGGACAACTGTGGTCATGTCATTTCACCTCAATGGCATGTTTCTTTAGTTGAGAAACAAAACCATCTGACTGGCTTTGGGGCTTCCTCTGTCTATAAGATTCTATTGCTGTTTCAAATCTTCTCTCCACGAAACTGCAAGCTCCCTGAAATTGAGTGAAACTCTCTTGCTCCCGCTCTGCTTCCTCCTCCCCACTCTGTTCCCTTTACCTTGTTTCAGTTTTTAACATACTGCAAAGCAAAGAAGGGACCTGATAACAAACTGACATCATCATGGAGTAACAACAGTCAGGCACACAAAATGGAGTCAGTGCGGCCACTGAGGATCTCGTCTCAGACACACCTCTGCACCCTGAGAACCTGAACTCTGTTTGAACTGTACCAGACCCGAGCATACCACCAGCCGTATTCAGAACAACACCTGCCAGCTGCAGCCTCATGCTTTCAAGATCTCCCCTTGTAACTACGCAACCACTTCGGGCTCCAACCAATCTTAACAATCATCCTTATTTCTTGCCAGCTCCAATTATAATTATTGACAGACAACTCATGTAACTAACTGTAACCTATGGTTTTTGCCTTTACTAGCCTCCCCCATTTTATAATCCTGTGGAACACAATTCCAGTATTTCTTGAATATGTGTCTCCTAGGCTGCAGTCCTAACAAATCCCAAATAAACACCTTTTTCCTTTCAATCAGGTCTCTGTTTCTAAAACTTTGGTTAACATACTTAATAGATGCTTCTTGATTTTAAAGCTGGCAATGTGTTAGATTTTATCTCATAATAAATTAGATAATAATCACCTGATGAGCCAAAATACATGATTATTTCAGGAAACCAATGTTTTAGAAATAAAAGCAAAAAATATTACATTCAGTAGCAGTCTTTAATATACTGATGACAGCTCACACTCAACATATTGGAAAACAATGAATATTAATTTGTATGTGTTTAAATAAAGAAGCCTAGAAGTTTAGAAGTAATGTATTTCCTCTTAAAATACTATTATTCTCCCTAAAATCGACCATGAAAATTTCTAGAAGAATTTGAATACAGAGTATGGAATTCCACCGTGTCAACAGTTCTAACTTACTATCATACTATATGCAAAGTTTCCACTCATGAGTCCAGAGATTACTTGCTCTGGAACGTGAGCCAGAGTCCAGAGCAACGAGTGTTTGTGCACTGAGTTCTCAGGAGTCTTCTCTCTTCCTCCTCTCATATTTATATTCCCACAACTGAGCTTTGTGCTTAGCACCAAAGGAAGATTCTGTTAAAGGTAAATAACATGCATTCTGGTTATAAAATATCTACAGGAATTTGAGATATTGTAGAAGAATTAGCTTTCTATACTACATCTTTGCAGAAGATGTCTGCATCTTCCCAGTTCAACATTCCATACCCCAAACTAATTCTTGTATAATACCTGAATATTATATATGAATTTCTGGGGCTCTGTCCTCCATATTGGCCAATATGTTGGTTCATTCTTCAGAGGAGTATATATGTATGTGTTATAATATACAAAATTTAAAGCAATCATCCTTGAGCACATGAAGTTTTATTTTCAACTGTTTAAATCATCCTTTCATTAT